TGCTGTACCTTGTTTTGAGTTCCATGGTTTCCGATGGCTCAATGTCTATGCATAGACTGTTGCGATATACATACATATATATATAGGACTTCTCAAGCGTGAAATTAATTTTACTCAAATTATACTGTTGTTCTATCATTCCAAATGTCGACCAGCCGCTTGGAATAGTTTTATAAATAAGTATTTATTCTCGACTATGCGAGGCACGTCCATAGACGATGAATGTTCCAAGAACATGTTTCCACTAACACTAAGTCCATCCTTGCCACATTCAAAGGGTCGTCCCATCTTCCCTATAAACGTAGGCTAATGACTACGATTGTACTGCGGCCGATATCGGCGCATATGTGGCGAACTCACGTCTGTGTGTATCTCTCTCCCCCCCCCCCCCGCAGCACCCCCCCTGGCGGCCTCCTCCGGGGGGGGGGGGGAGAGAGATACACACAGACGTGAGTTCGCCACATATGCGTCGATACCGGCTGCAGTACAATCGTAGCGTCCTTAGCCTAAGTTGATATGGAAGATAAGACGACCCTTTGAATGTGGCAAGGATGGACATAGTGTTAGTGGAAACATGCAAACATGTTCGTGGAACATTCGTCATCTATGGGCGTGCCTCGCATAGTTGAGAATAAATATATATTTATAAAACTATTCCAAGCGGCTGGTGGACACTTGGAATGATAGAACAATAGTATAATTTGAGTAAAAATAATTCCACGCTTGAGAAGTCGTATATATATATATGTATATATATCGCAACGGTCTATGCATAGACATTGAGCCATCGAAAACCATGGAACTCAAAACAAGGTACAGAAATAGTAAAAGAAAACACAACACAACACATCAAAATCCATGGTTCCGTCAGAGGGCAAGATACTACACGATTGCCCAAGCCAAAGTAGGGTGTTGACTTAGGGGACACCACCCCGAGACTTTGGCTGAATAACGTGCCGCAAGGCAGCGGAGCGAATTCAGGGAATCGCGCCCATTGGGAACCGGCGACTGATTGCTCGGTTCATACGCCTTTCGTTTGTTCCTTTGTCGAATAGGGCCTCATGCTCCCCAAAATTACAGCATAAACTTGCTGGGATACAATGCTTCGCCAGGATGAAGCAAGGGGCAGTGACTTTATTTCGCGGCGAGTCACGTCCGCCACGTTACAGTGTTGTTAAACGGATATATGTGGCTTTTAAA